AGACGAGCAGTAATCAATAGCCATTCACGATCCACAGGCTTTAATGTAAAATTAATTGATTCTGGAGCATATGATGAAATTCTCTCAGATTGCGTGAGTTTTTAAAAAAAAAAACCAACATGAATGTACATGCTAAATTCAATTTAACTATAGGTAATATAACATTACTGCTAGGTGTAGGAGTTATTTAATACCATACTTGCTGCATTGAAATTTTGGCAAATTATATATTTAGAGTAGAATAAATTTCATAAGAATCTCGTTAAGGCTATTAATATCTAACGTATTATGTATACATTTTTAACTTAATACTGCATTGCTTTATACACAGTGGCCCATACAACTCGCATACCACGATTAACTTCTAAAGTATGTATTATATGAATAATTTTTTTGATGGCGTGAATGATACAATACATATTTTAGGAGTTAATCGAGGTGTGTAACTTGCGTGGACCATCCTGTATATTATTATTAAGCAGAAAATGCTTATACACGCTTAAATATAAGGACATGAGCCTAAACACTATACGTGTTTATTACAATAAAAACATATTATTTGCTTTTTTACATTTTTGTTTATTAAAACTCGTGTAGGATTATCCTCAATTATTGTTAATGCCATATTCTGTTAATTCAGGTCTTAGCTTTACCTGGAGAGCTTTCAGTTATGCAGAACCAGGCAATAGAATGTTCCCTTTTAGGTGTTACGCCATCTTCTGATACTGATGCAACACTGAAAAAATGTGTTGAAGGGAAAGAAGTGATTATATATGTTCATGAAGTTGACAATAACAGGTAAAGTTAATATTTATATTTGCATGAAGACTTATCCTAAAAAAAGTTCCACATATTTGTTAATACCCTGTATACATTTTCTCCTTTTTTTTTTTACAGACTCATCGTAAAACTGTTCGATTTATTGGGTAACAAAATAAGTATTTTTGAAGAGGTCGATGAAAAGATATCACCAATATGTCCTATGCCTATTTTAAGTTCTACTCATAAAGTGACAGTATCATACGCAGATCATTCTACTAGTATATGGCTACAGCGTAACACAGAAAATATTTTGGACCAAAATTTAATTAAAGCACTTAAGGAATATTACCCCACGTCTGGAAAGTTAATAGAACCGGAAGTAGGTATTTTGTGCGCGGCTAAAAGCGTAGATGGTCAGTGGTATCGTGCCAAAGTCATAAAATGTACCGAAAGTGGAATTTACGTGAATTTCATTGACTATGGTAATAACGAAGAAGTCACTCGTGATCTACTAATGACTTTAGACCCATCTTTTTATGTACCACATCAATTGGCTGTCAATGTTTCGTTACCAGTAACGCTTAATGGTACAGTGGGAGAACAACTAAATATATTACAAAATTATTTGTCGAACAAGGAGCTCACTGCAATTTTTCGTAATGTAAACAAGAAATGGATAACAGAATTATTATGTGATGGAGAAAAAATTAGTGATAAATTTACTTCACTTAATTTAACATCTCAGCAAGAAATATCTGGAACAAGTCAACCTAAAGTTCATAATGTGACAGTAAATCATAAATATGATGTATGTGTATCTCATGTAGACTCTCCTAGTCAGTTTTGGCTTCAATGTGCAGAAGATGTTACACATCTTTCTATGAAGCAAGATGAGCTTCAAACGGAAGCTACTAAATTCCCACAAGTGGATGGAATATTAGAAGAAGGAAGTTTATGCGTTGCTATGTACACAATTGATAATGTGTGGTACAGAGCACAGGTACTTGACGCAGACGAAGACATTACGACTGTTCGATTTATTGACTATGGAAATACTGATGTCATTGATAATAAATCGGGACACATCCGACAGATTTCAGATTCGTGGAAAGAAATAAAGGAATATGCAATTAAATGTAGATTAGATGTTATTCCTACCGATTCAGAAGATTGGAATGCTACTACATGTACGAAGTTTGAAAATTTAGTTACATCTGTTGAATCTTTACAAGCCTTTGTTATCGCAGAGGGAATTCCAAAACGAGTAGATTTGTTGATAAATGACAAAAGTGTTAGTGAAAAATTAGTTGAAGATCATCATGCTGTAATGATTCATACTGAAGATGATTTAATAGATGAAATAGTTGATCTTGAATTGGATCCTCATTCTGCTTTTGTGAGTCATATTAATTCCCCAGGCGAATTTTGGGTACAAGAAGAAAAATCTGTTGGTGATTTAGAAGTTATGACTGACAGATTTATCGTAGCAGATATGTTTCCCAAAGTCGATGAGATCAAAGAAAATATGTTGTGCGTTGCTAAATATCCTGATGACGAATATTGGTACAGAGCGCGCGTTATATCACACAGTGATAATGCTACACGAGTCATATATATCGATTACGGAAATTCAGCTACATCAACAGAAATACGTGCCATACCACCAGATTTAGCAGATGTGCCGCCATTATCGAGAAAATGTTGCTTAGCTATGCCGGAAGGAATCACGCAATGGTCAGAACAGGCGTGCACAGAATTTATAAAATTAGCTGCTGATGGAGCAACAATATTCCTGTTGGATGTATTGAAAGAAGATGACATGTCAACGGTGAAATTAACATTAAACGGAGAGAATGTAACTGACTTACTTGCAAACTTCTGTGAACGTTGCCCACCTATCATTGAAGAACGACTGCCTCCTTTAGGCGAAGAAAATTCACCGAATGTATATATTAGTTGTACTAATTCACCAGATGAATTTTGGATTCAAACTGAAAGCAGCACTGTAGATTTAGATATGATGTTGGATAGATTGGAAGCAGCTCCTAGTTTTCTTCCATTAAATACATTTGAAGTTGGAACTATCTGTGCTGCAAAATATTCCAAAGATGATTTATGGTATAGAGCTAAAATTCTTTCGCATTCTGAAAATTCTACCGAAGTTCAATACATAGATTATGGTAATACAGCAATTACAGATGAAGTACGAATGTTACCTGTAGATATTATAAATATTCCTACTTTAGCTAAACGCTGCGCCTTACAAAAACCAGATACTATAAATTGTTGGGCTTCAGAGGCTTGTAAAACGTTCGAAGATCTCGCTGAACAGGGAAAAACAGAGTTTCAATTCGAAATCATCAATGATGCTGTTGATCCAATTCTTATTAAACTGACTCTTGATGGAAAAGATGTTGTTGATACTCTAGTGTCATTTTCAGAAAACCTACCTAACAATACAGATATAATACAAGAAAAAGAGAATTTATATGGAAACCAAAACATAAGCGAGGAATTAGAGGCCCATGTAGGAAATGAAAATAATGACAATATAGATCAAGATACAATGGCTAAAACCGGAGAGGATCAAATTAATTACAGTGTTGAACAAGACTTGAATAATTCTATTACAAAATCAGAAGAAGTGCTAGAAATACACGAGGAGCAAAATAAAGAACTAAATAAGTCCCTGGAAAACCTCGAAGATCAGAATAAAATGACTATAAAGGATACCGATAGCGTACATTCGTATAACAGTAACTTCATTGTCGAACTCACTGTAGATGAAATAATACAGAATATGGAAAGAAACGTAAAAGATGAACCCGACATGGATGAAAAACCGTCTGGGAGTAATGATACTAATATAGACTCATTTGAGAATAATGATATTGAAAAAATAACCAAAACTGTGGAAAATTTGGAAACACAAGATACATCACAGTTAACTGAAATGCAAGAAGTAGATATTATTCCGGATAAAGATGAAGACTATTTAAACCGAAGTGAAGATCAGTTTGAAGCAAAAAGTATACATGAAGAAGAATTGCCATCAATGGCGAAAGAAGATATAACAACGCCGGATGGAACAAAAACGCAAATAGATCCAAATATGGATGAAGAAGATCATTTACATCAGAGTAAAGATAAGTCTATTGCGGATAAACACGAAGATCACTCACACCAGAATGAGGATGAATCTGAAGTAAAAAGTGTGCACTCAGAAGTATCTCCATCAAAGGTAAAAGAAGATGTAAACCTGAAAGAAGCAGAAATGGAAGTGAGTATTGGTGGTCTAAGTAAAGATGAAGGTCAGTTAGATCAAAATGAAGGTCGACCTGAAACAGAATTCACACATGCAGAAGATATGCAAGCTTCAATCCCACTAGAAACCAAGAAGGATGATGAGAAGTTAAAAAGTATTGAAGATAATATAATAAACTCAATAACGCAATCATGTAGCAATGAAACAAGACTATGTGAACCACATACAGATATTGATTCTTATGAACATGATACTGAAGTACATACAACAGAATTAGATAAATCTTCCGATAAGCAATCTATTGAAACACAATTAAATAAAAGTGTAACAGATAATACATTGACAAATGTTCTAGATGAAGAGACTGCTTCTGGAAGCACCGAAGGAAAAACAAAGAGTGATAATGAAAAATGTAAGATAGAAAATGATGATAAACTAAACATTAGTATAACAGATAATAAAAACGATATTGAGATAAAGAGTACGAATAAGAAGCAATCTTTGGATTTTAAATCTGTCGAAACAATAAACAACGAATGTAAGATTAGCGACAAGCAAGATGATAAGCACCTTCCACATTCGGAAGGGGTTGATAAACCTTCTGAATGATTATGTACAGAGACTGACTTTATAATTCGAACATAAATTTTACATGATTCCGACACTTTATTTTTGAAAAGGTTATTGCTTATGTCTTCATAATTCAGTATTTAATTTAAAGTCTTCTTATACGAATATTTTGCTTAAAAAGTATTGAAAGGTACTAATGCGCGAACAATAATATTACTGTGCTCTCTTCGAAGAAGGAAATTTCAACAAAGGACAACATTCCCAAATATATGTCGTAGCTTTAATTGTAGTGAGCACTAAAACGTTAAACATTTTATTTTTTTTATTTTTTATGTTTTTACTTCTTAATTAAGAACATTACTGTATATTGTTTGATCGTGTATAATAGTAAACAAGCTTTCTCTTTTATATTAATACAAAAATCTGTTTACGTAAATAATAATGATAAAATATATTCCGGTGGTTTACCAAAGAGTAATAAAAGAGCGTACTCATCATATAAATTAATTAATGTTTCGTTTTGTTTTTCACATGGAGTTTAATAAAAAATAATAGAAAATTAAAGTTCCAAACATTAAATATTGCTATTGTTATTTTATTTTCATACAAAACTTTAACATAGATGTATGCAAATTTCATCAATTTCACTTCAATGTAAACCGGTGTTAGTTTATATATAATTTATTGCAATTATTATTCTTCATATGAAATTTTAGGAAGGTTTCATAAATTTATGTCAAATTGTTAGTGACAAACAATATTAAAAATGCATGTTTCATAATAAATGAAAATATACGTACATGCTTTAATATTGTTATTGTTAAGAAGAAACACTCTCAATGAAAACGAATGTATAATGTTCTTCTTTCTGCGATTATATTCTTATACTTGATATTATATAATCCTTTTAAAAGCATTAACGTTGACCCAAATTAAACTGGTTATAATACTAATATAATTTGTACAACAGATTTAATTTGTATCATACCAAATGCAGTATGTCATTATGTTTTTCAAATTGTTATTAAAAACAGGAACTAGAAATTAATTTTGATGAGCAAGGTATATTACAAACAGGTTGTTTTTTTATTTAAATAATGCTTTATGGTCACATTAAAATGGCTTTAAGAGTGATATAACACATTTTACAGTTGATATATAAGTTGTATTTTATTAATTGATGATAGAGCATCTTTTTCATAAACGGTTAATACAATAAATTGTGATTAACCATTTATATATATTATGTATATCTATTATTATTATTATTATTATTAATATTAAAATTACTATTATTATATATTTAAGTTGCGCCTCAACAGAAATATATTGTCACATAATAAACCGACCGTTTTTCAAAGCTATAATAAAAAATTGGTAGATAATGTGAACAGCACACTCACGGACAAAATGACTACCTATGAAAATTATAATGCTATTATTTCTACTATTGAGACTCAATATCATATACATGCGATTATGCATATTTAAAAAAAAATCAATACTAACGATGATAACGTAAATTACAAATTTATGTAGCTTTGAATTTGTATCGTCTATCTCAAGTATTGATTATTAATTATGCGTGTATATAACAGTTCGTGTGTGACTGATTTTAGAGAACCAATACAAATATTGTTAACACTCGAAGATATTGACATTGTAATTATATTAACTTATTGAATAACAATGTTATAAACGGTACGTTGTAAACAAAAAATGCAAGGACACTATAAATTATGTACATACGTACAATGATTGGAATATAAATATCGAACAACTTCGGGTAGTGCATTCACAGTATTGCGTTCTCCGGTAAGTGTGCGGCTATGTAAATATTTCTATTACAATAAAATATATTTTCTAATACGTGTTTCAATATGTTTGATTACTTTCAGTGTAAAGTGATAATAAATACAATATTGAGATAACAATCAGATATTTTCGATTATAACTTCTTTATTAAACAATCATTCCATTTAATCAGTTACAAAACGTATGTATGTAAGATAATGTTTCGTTTTCTAGGATTTTTCTTCATCTTGGGATACGGGTGTTATTGATTTTCCTTTCCTTTTACGTCGTTTCATTTTTTCTGTTTAACAAAATTTTATACTTTTTTAATATATTGTATACAATTAATATTATTAAATACCTATAAATTAAAATTTATTTAACGCTATGTCCATAAATTTATATGTAATTATATATATAAAACCTATAGGTTTGAATATAATATAGGAATTGAATATAAAGACACAGAATTAATTTCTACATCTAATATAATCCACAAAATAAATCAAGGTATTGGGTATGCCTGCTAAACTACTTTTCACATAAATACACATAAATAAACACTATCTATTTCCGCTATTTCATATTTTATCATTCTTGCGCAACAGATAATAAAAAAAGAACGATTGATTCTGTAGGTACATTGATACGTCTTCGAAAAAACATCAAAGTTGAATTCTATCTTACATTATTATATCATTTTTTCATAACTATTACGGAAAAAATCTATATGCAAAATTGTATCATGTACCCTTTTTCTTAGCGATTCTAACATTCTCTTCCATTTCCGCATTATATGTCTCTTGCCGTGTGGTCATTATTCTATCACGGGCAACTGCGATCTCATCTTCCAAGTACCATTTGAGAGGACCTCTGCATCGTTTACAGATCATTGGTTCAGGTAAAGATTCGTCAGTTTTGTTGTTATCAGTTCTCGAAGTACCACGCCGGTAAGTACTCCGCCGGTCACGTTGTCCATCACGCGGTTCATCATCCCATCCAACTCGCGAATCATTTGCCCTTCGATTTTTATCACGCTGTCGATCATCTCCACCACGCTGTCGATCATATCCACCTCGCTGTCGGCTTTGATACCCACTTCGACGTCTACCTCGCTGACCAATTCTCTGAGTACTCCTTTGAACGCTGCGTTGAGAGGAAGGTGAAACACTGTCGGCATCTTGAATACGAAACCTGATATCGGGCCCACCTCCTGTTATATTATATGGACAAAAAAGCGGGCCAACGCTTCTGTTTTCAATAGTTAATCTCGGATCGTGGTCTTTGATGTCACAACAAAATCCGTAGGGTTTCGCCGTAAAATCATGCCGCGAAGTACCAACGTTAAATTGTTTTATCACGTTTTTTTTCATATCTTTTTGAAAACCTTTGATATTGTTACACTTAAAATTTGAACGAAAAATACATTAACAGATACTGAACATTTAGGATGCGATGTGTCAAAGAAATAGGTAAGAAATTGAGGTGACGAATAATTTGAAAGGACTATCTAGAGAAATTATTGTTTATGAGTTAATTGTAAAATTGGTTGTCTATCGAAACGAATAACGTTAAACTTTGAAACTTTTAACTATGTATAATGATTATAAACTAAGAAAGAAATAATGATTGAGGAAAATAAATTTAAGACGTTCTTGTAAAAATACGATAATATTATTAAGAAGCTGTTACATTGTGAGAAAAAAAAATATAAATATAAAAAACACGAAGAAAACATATATATATATATATATACAGGGTGTTCCAAAAGTCGGGGAGGAGCCGGAAATGGGGGGTAGCTGAGACGATTCTGAACAACAATTTCCTTTGCAAAAATCTCGGATGGGGCTTCGTTGAGGAGATATTAACGGAAAACACTGACCAATCAGAGCGCGCGTAGACCGTTCGAGCGGCCGCGGTAGCGAAGGCTACGCGCTAGGCGGCAGCGTCAATGTCCTTCGATGCACGTCGAGTCACTTGTTCGCGTACAAGCGCGGCCGCCAGCGCGTAGCCTTCGCTACCGCGGCCGCTCGAACGGTCTACGCGCGCTCTGATTGGTCGAGGTTTTCGCTTAATATCTTTACATGACTTCCTTATAGGTCAGAAAGCGAAACAACCTCAAATTACCTCGTTCTTAATTTTTGTTTTATTTTGGATCGTAAACTTACTTCCTAAATGAATATCTACCTTTAAATAATACCCTGTATATAATATAACAAAGACGAATTTCTAATTCCATATGTAAACGATAATAGCTAAATACAAAATTTACTCTAAATAGAAAACTACGAATATAATCTTCCCGCTATGATAATGTTCCGCATTGTTTTTTATTACTTACTCGTTATATTAGAAATAAATAATATTTAAGATTTAAAGTAATATGTATTGGTCAAGATATGATATTGTCGTATAAATATATTATTACATAAATTATTGTCAAGCATAGGCAGTCTTCCTAACATCTATGTACTTTCCTTACTTTTAAACTAATAAATTCGTTAATAATTTGATTAGTCTGTATTTTATCGTTTTATATGAGAAGTTACACTCGTATGTGATAAACGTGTTCGTTTTTATTTCAAAAGTTTGTCTTCCCTTCCTTATCTTAGCAAAATGGCTGAATATGTGTATAAAGTACTTGAATGGTGTTGGTGTCTCCCATAATTAAAATAAACTTATTACGATGCAACTTCAGGAAGCGCGTGTCTGATGATGATCGAATGATCGGGGGCTTAATCTTAAATCGTTATTCATAGAATTATGAATTCCTCTGCTTTATCGTCCGGAACTTTAGGCCATTCAACGGGACAGAGAACATCAGAATCTCAAGATTCAGAATTAACCTGTAGCGGGAATCAAACATCGAAAATTTTGAATCAAATGAAATCCGAATTACAGGAACAAAAACAACAGAAACGTTTACTTCGGGAACTACATTTAAAACGTGTTCAATCATTGAGGAAAGAATTGGATTACATTAAAGCAACAGAGTGGAGATATCAGCCAATTGATCGGTATATTTTAATATGAGACTTTTTTAATTCGCAAACTTCTTTCCGTGTGTAACGATAACATAAATCTTATTAAAAATAATATTTGCAGGTACATGGATAGAAACAATAGAAATTAAATATGTTATCCTTAATATATAACCTTGTAAAATATACTGTAGGATATAAGTCTCCTACTAAAAGTGACACGGATGAAATAAACAATATTGTAGCTCGCATTGAAAAAGCCTATGAGAAAGAAGTAGGAAAAAATGGATATATTGATGAAAATGATTGTCACTGCAAGATAGGAAAAGTTACTTTCATCTCGACAGATTACATTCTAATTGATAATTTTTATGTATACGATACAGTGAATCTCTCAGTGAATAATTTAAAAGTAGGCGATAAGGTTCAATATCTAGCCTTGCAGGAAGGCCATGAGAAAGAACATAAGGTGAAGAAAATTGTTTGTGTGATAGACAACGATTCATGGTGCAACGAAGTTGCAGATTCTCAGGCAAATTTTGATGAAACACAAGCATTAACAAAATGTATAATCGGAAAAGTAATTGAACGCAAGAATCGAGTATTACTTGTGGAACCTAATAATATTTCTGTTGATTTGAATAAAGTACAGTCAGATTTTGTCCCTGTGATTGGAGATTGGTTACATATAGAGGCAGAAGTAGAAATTGATGTAAATTCTTATAATCAAAACAAAGAAATCTTAAACATAAAGAAGATACAACCACTACGATCTAAGTTAGGCATTGGAATTGTATCTAGTTATGATACAGGTAAAGAAATTGGTACTATTGGAAAAGATATTGTATTCAATAGAAGAATATGTGATTCTGGTTATATTCCTCACATTGGTGATAAAGTACTTAGCGATAGCATTGAAAGTGATCAAGGATTTTATACATGGAGATCATTAACTGTTGTTCCAGTATATCAGGCAAGTGTTGCTTTGAAAATCTTAATAGTGATAGCACTTATTCCAAAGAATTATTCTTTGGATATGGCAAGTTATAGAAGTAATTGCATCAAAATTCACATATTACAAACATGAGTTTTATTATGTAGTAAAAATTTACACACTTATGTAAATTGTGTGATATATACATGACACGTATAAAAATGTCTGTGAAATAAGATTATTGAATTTATATGTTCTAAATAATAATTTATTTCAGTCAATATTTTTTATTTAAAATCAATCAATTATTTCATAAAAAATTCAACATCTAAATGTAATACAAATAAATTTATTCCTTGCAGGTCCCAAACAAAGAGCCTTTACCAATGTTATGCAGTACACCTATTACAAAAAAGAACTTAGATGAACTTGTGAAAAATAAGTGTGGTATAAATATTAGTGATGATATAAATGTTGACTTAAATATGTTAGAAGAAAAAAACATAATACTTAGAATACAAAATGTAGGTAATACTACTCATACGCTGTACAAAGGTTCCTTCATGACAAAGAAGGCACAGTCTCAGTTAACTCTAATACAACCAACAAATGCTGGTATAGTTTCAGTATTAAATCCATCTGAGACTTTAATTTATATATTTAAATGTAAAGCAAAATTTATTGGAACAAGCGAAGAATTATTTGTCTTAAGTTTCAAAGGTTTTGAAATTGGAAGAATATTTCATATATCTGTAAAACCTAAAAGTATACAAAAGAAAACGTGTCCCAAACAGAATATTGCCAAAACTAATAAATTTAGTCCTGTGCTAGATGTAGATGAATGGAGTGAAGAAGTATACATTCCAGGTGTTAGACCATGTAAACCACCATCATTTATTAGAGTGCGTAATTTGTCATTCAAAGTTCCACAGCGTTATTGGGATGTAATATCACAATGTTTAAATGAAGGGAAATCACAAACTGAGTGTGTATATGATATAGGAAATGCAGTACCTTGCTTGTTAAATATGCTCAGTTTTCAATCATACAAAGATCGTTTCCATGCTTTATTATATTTAGAAGAAATTGCTCAAACAATAAATATACAACAATACAATATAGAAAGCACAATTATGAGGCATTGTGCGGAATATTTGGTGATGGAAGTGCCTGGTCTTGCTGAAAAACGCCCATCTCTTCTTGTTGGCGACAGAGCTATAGTATCTTTTAAGTGGGACAGTTCTCAAGGTATGTTGTGATACATGAAGATATTAATAAACATGTGTATATACAACTACATTGAATATATAGGTTGGGTATTTAAGGCAAGTCACCGAGGTAACTCGTTTATTTTTAAATATAAAAAAAATTGTTTGACAGTTGTTTGATATTACAGAGAATAATGGCATTTTAATCTGACCCATAAAATACATTACCATATTATGATTCTTCTAAAAACAAACAACTTCTTTCTATTTTTAAACAATTATTCTATGATCAAGTTATTCAGATGATCTGTCGTAAATGCCTTAAAAAATTATAAGAATAATTAAGTGCTTGTATGAAATCTTCTCTAAAAAATTGTACATGGTATATCAACTTGCATTATGTTTGTAATAGGAAAATTGAAATATGAAGGATTTATTCATAAAGTTACAAATTCAGAAATTTTTTTGAAATTCAATCATAAATTTCATGAAGAATATAATTATGAAGATTGTCAAGTAACATTCAAATGCTCGCAATCTGCCATACAACGTAGTCACAATGCTATTAATATGGCTGTAAATCGATTAGGTTCCGACTTTTTGTTTCCTACACATGTGGTTGAAAAAGAGTCTCGATTAAATCTTGAAGAGATCGAAGTAATAAACGAAACATCTCCTAAGCAAATGATTCATCAGCTGACTAATTCCATATCATCAGAATCCTCTTGCGATAGTACATCTACCAGTACTAAATCTAGTAGTACAACAAAATCATTTACAAAAGTATCTGTTGTAGAACGATTGTTCAATGTTAAACCAATTGAACAAACTCCAGAATTTGTAACACGTAATGTTACACCAATAAAAGACAATCAACTTATTGAAACAAATATACCAAGAAACGAAACAAGCATTCAGCAAAATTCTATGGATACAGTATTATTAAAAAGTCCAAAACAAACAGCATCTGATTTACAACCGTATATATCGCAAATAAAAAAACGAAAATTAAATTGGTTTAATAAAAATTTGAATTACTATCAAAAGGAAGCCATAAGAAACATATTGAAAGCGCATGCACGACCATTACCTTATGTGATATTTGGCCCACCTGGTACTGGGAAAACTGTCACCCTTTGTGAGGGAATTCTCCAAATTTTGTCAACTGTACCTGAGAGTCGACTGTTAATTGCAACACCATCTAATAGTTCAGCAAATCTTATAGCAGAAAGACTTCTAGACAGTGGTGTTCTTAAACCTGGTGACATGGTATTTCATTAATTTTTTTAAATGGAACCTTATAATTTTTATCCATAATGTAATAGTATTTGTTTAAACAAATTCATTGACTATACTAAATTTTTCCTTTCTTTCACAGGTACGTCTTATAGCTCATCATTGCTTAACTAATGATTCTATTCCTGATAAATTATTGCCGTATTGTGCCACTGCAGAATTAGCAGAAGAAGGAACACATGAAAAAACAAAATATAACGGAATGGGACCAAGATTAAACTGTACTATGAACGTACTTGGTCGTCACAGAATTACTATTGGTACTTGTATTGCTTTGGGTATACTGCACAATATGGGATTTCCCCATGGACATTTTTCACATGTATTAGTTGATGAGGCTGGTCAAGCAACAGAACCAGAGATTATGATTCCACTCAATTTTATTCATTCTGATTATGGACAAGTAATTCTTGCGGGCGATGCATTGCAACTTGGTCCAGTTGTACAAAGTAGAATAGCAAAACATTTTGGTTTGGACGAATCATTTTTGTCGAGGCTACTGCAACACTTTCCATACCAAAAGGACCCTAATGGCTTCGAAACACAGTATGATCCACGTCTTGTCACAAAGCTTATTATGAATTATCGAAGTTTACCAGAAATACTTAAACTACCAAGTTCTCTGTTCTATGACTCTGAATTAATAGCACAGGTACATACATTTATGGCATGTAAGTCATATTTATAGTATTTATTAAATCAAGGAAATAATCACAATAATATTTGTAGATATCTTCTAAAAAAAGTAAAGAAGCAAAACTTTTACAAACATTAGCTGCCGAATTACCCGAAAGGAAAGGTTCTCCTCCAGCTGTAGTCTTTCATGGCGTTAATGGAGAGAATTGTAAAGACAGTGACTGTCCAAGTTGGTATAATCCTGAAGAAGCAGCACAGGTGTACCTCTACCTTTTAAAGCTATATAAGTGTGGTCTTTCACCCGATGATATTGGAATCATAACTCCTTATCAAAAACAGGCGAGTTATTTAAATATACTTTATGAAATAATAATTATAAAACCAAATCGCATTTTATTTTTTTAATTGTTTATTATAGGTCTATGAAATTCGAGAGATACTTATGGAGTTAGACATGAAATTACCGAAAATCAGTAGTGTTGAAGGATTTCAAGGCCAAGAGCGTAATGTTATCATTATTTCAGCTGTACGGTCCTCAAACAATTTTGTGAATGAAGATATCAAACACTCTCTCGGATTTGTTGCTTGTCCTCGAAGACTCAATGTTGCAATCACTCGTGCTCGTGTTTTAGTCATAATTTTAGGAAACCCTAAACTTTTAGCTCAAGATCCTTATTGGAGGAATGTTTTACTTTATTGTATTAAGCAAAATTCGTATACTGGATGCAACTTTATTTTTTCTGATACAGAAGAACCACAAGTGAAAATAAATAATTCTTTTATAAATGACAAGAGTAACAACTTCTAATGAATCATGGCAACATTTGTAAACTACGTTTTTTTATATTTGTGGTGATATCTATCACTGTATTACAAAATTACAACTTTTTCTTTGTACAGTATTTTAAGTTTGTAAATGTTTTAATGAAGAAGTAAATGGTATCATTATTACTGTATAAATATGCATTTTGAATAAAATATGTAATAAAATCTTTATAGAATGTTTAGATTAAGTGATATATTCGTGATTTCTAAACTTTACTTGTTTACAATCTTTGTTCATAATCTGTATTAAGTTACATTATACAATGACCAATCGATTTATATTTTATATTAAATGGTTTTTATAGCATCTTTGTGTGTTTGATGTTAGAAGTACAGTAAAATAAAAGCGAGTTTTAGCACAAGTATTCAATTGTTTCTTTTCTGCACATTTCCAACGATGAAACGTCTAGATACGTATCATGTAGTGTATATATAGTTTGTATGCTGTAATTTACATACATGTATACATGCATCCATATATATATATATATATATATACACATGTATATCCATACAAAATTCATGCGAATATATGCTTATTCAAGTCATTTTACTTTTTGCAAGAATGTGTGAATAAAAATATATTCGTTTCACCATGTATCATGGATTTCTCGTTCGATACATAAAACTGAATTACTTCCATGTCGATGTTCTGCTTACGAGTCGAATTGAATTAAGTGCCCTTTTTGGCCGAATCCCTGTACACCATGTCACGATGTCACAAGTCCATATGCCAAGAAGTTTGATACTGTAAAAAATAAAATCATTGACTATGATGTATACAAATAAAAACATTTAAACTACTTTAAAAATTGAACAATTTTTTAGTTTAATAATTCATTTCCAAACAAATTAATATATAAATATCAATATAACCTGGTTTCCCTTTCGTTCGCATTACATAAGAATAAAGTATAATTCAAATAGCCAAATAAGATCCCTAGGATTGGAAACGTTGATTTGATAGTGTCATTCCTATCATTACTCCTTCACGCTCATGTCGCTCCATCAGAGATCTTATTTAACTTGTTCAACTATGTTAACAAAAAATGAGTATAGGTAATCATGTTAGTTTTGTATGATCCTTGCAGGCTGATAATTGATCACATACTCTTATGCGTGGTATTCGTAATCGTTCCTATGCAATATATTGTGTGTTTCTATACAGTACACTACGATCTTTGAACTAATTAAACTGCTCAAAATAATCACGTTATGCGTTAGATCCATTTTGATTAGTCTAAGGACTATAGAATACTAGAAGCATGTAGAAAATATAACACAAAAGCAATCATGAAAACCATGTATAAGAACATCTAGCCTGACCTACTTACTAGTCTGCAAGGAACTCTGTAAAAAAGCATGTTTCATATAAAGTTTTTGTCGTTTAATATTTAAGCGATTACAGGCGCTGATAGCAATGAAAAAGTGTTAATACAAAATATGATTACTCCATGTAGAAAATTTTAATCATCTTCAGTTAATCAAATGACTGAAAAGAGGGAAAAACGATGGTGCGTGAAAAATGATAGCGAATGATACTAACCTTACTTAGTTCCACACTATACTTACTGGATCCTGATTTTTAGTTTTCAATTTACGTTCAATTACGTTTTCTAACGCTTCACTTCGGACACTCAGCGTTTCGATTTTTTCCACTAGTTGTTGGTAGGGTGATGCAGGTTGTCCACCCATTACAACATGCCCTAATTTACTGTCTATTTTCGCATCCAATCGTGCATTACGTATTAAATTGACAATCCAGCATTCAGCTACATCTGCTTTCATATTAAGTTTTTCTGCAAGCATTCTGTAATACAAAAATGTATTGGAAATATATCAGAAATGTTCTTGTAAAACGGAAATGTAATTGTAAAATGGAAAATATAAATTATCATACCCAATACTGATACATTGATGAATTCGACAGAATGTCTCAAAGATCATTAAACGAGCATTCTCTACAAATTCACTTAATAGTGCAATCAGGAAAAAGTCGTTAAATACAACTGTTTGACACTCCTGCAATTTTTGTCTTGCCCCATCGAAATCAAAATTAACATACAAATGTTCTAGAAACTCGGTGATAGGATCACGATACGTATAAGATTCCTGTTAAAAGAATGTAATCACAAATTAAAAATTTCTTTATAATTAAACTTTTTTCAATTTTAAAACATTTTAATAAAGACTTTCTGCACACCTGTTGTATTACTTTTACCAGGTCTTTTAATATAGATCGCCTAGAGCGATTCACAATAACAGCTGCAGCCAAATAACGTAATATGTGAGGGCACATTGTTTGAATAGCATTTAGATAACTGAAAAAATAGTATATAGATTTCAATTATTAAGTATTCATAATACATTATATAATAATGCTTGCAAAAGTATATACATACTGTGGTCGATAAAGGAACATTTCTATAATTAAATCTCTGCCTTTTACATGATTGAAAAATACAAATAAACTCCAATGAATAAGCCATGTTCTTTGTTGTAGTATTTGAAGAGAGTTTCCTATAACATTACTGTCAATATATTCCCTCAACTTGTTTACATCTTCTAATGCAGTTTCCCAGTTTTGCACCAAGATTTCTGATGCCAATTTACCCCAAAGTACATTTAAATAATTCTGAAAATTATATATGAATTTATCATATGAATAAACTATTATACAATCACTAAGTATTTTATATATGTTGAATGTATTATAGTTATACCTTATCTGTTGGTGGCATTATAAGCATATAGAAATATAAATATGATGTAGAAACAGAGTAATTGCCACATTCGTACCGATACTTTGCTAACTTCACAAAGCTATCCATCATTTCCACTCTGAACTATAAACATACAATAAATAAGTTAAAATAAATTGGATTTATATTACCTAAAAATGTATATTATTATGTTCACTATATATGGTATGGCATATAATCTTCTGTATCATACATTATTTCATGAATACATGTAGTTCATAGAATCTTTCTTATGTGCTAAAAGAATATCTCTAAAATTTTCTTACAATATAATTAAAAAACATTGTTACTTTTCTTGTACTGCAAATATGTATAAAAGTCTACTCTAAAATGTAGTTGGCTCATACCATTAAATATAAAACTGTAGCATCTTTTATCATATTATACTATTTCCATGTTGTATGAATACTTACATAAATACAAAATGTTAAGAAATTATATTACATATATTAGTATACTTACTGGAGACTCCTGAGTAAGGTAATTGTTCAGTGCTTTAGAATCTCGCATATTTTCCATTTTCTTCATGATTTCTTCATTATTCATAAGAGCAACAACAACTGATACATTATCTTGCAAAATACCAAGCTCCTGAAGTACATCTGCACGATGAGCTTTTAACTCCTACAATTCAAGTTTTTTCCATTAGGCTTATCATTCACAAGTACAGGGTGGGTGAAATTTGTAGTACACCCAGGTACAATGTGTAACATTTTTTTATTTGTGACTTTGTTGTTGAGAAAATCGACTTTCAAGTTTATCCAGCTATGGAAGCAACCGAATACAGTTTGGTTATCCTATATTCTACAACAGGTTGAAAAAATTGTATACTAAGTTTTTATTTTATTTTTTCACATAAAATCACAACCAGACCGGGTGTACAACAAATTCCATCTCCCCCTGTGGACATTTCGATTTGTTACATTTATACATACGTCTGATATTTCCAAGTGAGGATAAAGTTGTTGCCTGATGTCAATAGTATAATCAAGCATGTTTGTTTTGCTAAGAATATCAAGTTTAACTTGAAGTAGCTCATCCTCGTCATAAATCTGAAACATACAAGTGTATTATAACCAAATAGCATATGGTCTAAATATTTCTTTTTACTTTACCTGTTTAGCAGATAAAAATTCCAAAAGAGGAAACACTAAGTGTCGATCGAGATATTGACCTATACGCGATGTCAGATCGAATTTTGCCATTTTGACTCCTAAATATTGAGCTAAAGTGGTTCTGATCACAATCTACAAGAAGTAAAAGTTCGAGAGACCTGTGAGCATGCACCGCAATAAAGTCAAAAAGTATACAATAGAATGTCCAGAAAGTTCACGCTGAAGTAGATAGACTGCAAAGTTTCTCAATTGTATCACTAGAGGGCTACAAACTTTAGTATTTTGTGAAACAATGTCCATAATGTACGTAAATACAAATACAAATCAATATAAAAATTGAGTAACTTAAATTAATTAAGATAGTCTGTAATAGTATTGTTATGAAAAGGTTGAGTCGACATAATGGGACCTGTAATAGATTTGACAAAGATCTTTTTTTATTAGTTTGTTTGATAATTAATTTAACTGCGCGAATAATAATAATTGTAATAATGAGAAAATTATTATAATTAATTTTTTCTAGATATCTAGAAAGCATTATTCTTGTAAGTATATTTTTGTAAGTATGTGCGGGATATAAAATAAATATAATTAAATACTGTTAAATTTAGAAATTAAACAATTTCTTGAAATATGCTTTTTTTTTAATGTTATTGCGTGTTAATGTCAATAATTTAATATTATTTAATGCATCTGGCACACACATGTGTGCATGTGTGTACTATATATGTATATGCATTTTATGGTCCATCCCAGTTCACCAAATAGTTTTGCAGTTCATGCTTACCAATTCGAGCAATGAATTGCTCCATGATCAGAAGTACTAAGATTTCTCGAAAAATCTAAATTTTATCGGTAAATTTTCTGTATTAGACACTTTTAAATACTAATAAGTGAATGAAATGCCACCCAAAAAGGCACCTGTTCCCAGTAAAAAAGCGGATCAGAAGAAAAAGGAAAAAGTTATTGAGGTATCCGAACACGATAATTTTACATTGCTAACCTAAAAATACGACATTCCATATTTTGAACATATATGCACGTGGGCACTTATTGTCCTTTTTAAAATTTTTGTTAAATATAATTTTCATTTTTCCATAGGATAAAACTTTTGGTATAAAAAACAAGAAAGGTGCCAAACAACAGAAATTCATACAGCAAGTAGAGAAGCAGGTAAAATCAGGTGGTGTTAATCCACGGAAATTAGAAGACCCTAATGTTAAAAAGCTTGAAAAAGAAAAAAAATTAAAGGAGCAGAAAGAATTAGCTCTCATATTTAAGCCTGTGCAATCACAAAAAATAGATAAAGGTATTAAATAAAGTAAGGTTATCGAAGAGATCTAGTTAAGAGAAACCATGATTGTCAACAAATGTTCAAACGTATCATACTATTATGCATTATTACTTTTATACTATTTTCTATGTGTACATGCAAAGTAGTGGGAATAAAGTATTGTTTCAATTTTCAGGAACTGATCCCAAATCGGTAGTGTGCGCATTCTTCAAACAAGGACAATGTACAAAAGGCGACAAATGCAAATTTTCTCACGATTTAAGTATAGAAAGAAAAGCAGAGAAACGGTCATTATACTGTGATATGAGGGATGATGATAAAGAAACTGATACAATGGATAAATGGGATGAAGATAAGTTAAAAGAAGTAGTAGAGAAGAAGCATGGCGCTAGTGGTAATCGTCCAACTACTGATATTGTGAGCAAATTGGTTATAATATTTTAAACATTTAACAAGTTATGATTTTCATACATTAAAAAAATAATCAATATCTTAATTTTAGATTTGTAAACATTTTTTGGAAGCAGTGGAAAAAGCAAAATATGGATGGTTTTGGGAATGTCCATCTGGACAAAAATGTATTTACAGGCACGCATTACCACCTGGTTTCGTACTCAAAAAAGATAAGAAAAAGGAAGACAAAAAGGATGAAATTTCTTTAGAAGATTTAATTGAAAAAGAACGTGCCAACTTGGGACCAAACCAAGTATGTTTATCTTTTGGTAATTTACGAGATGCTTATTTAATAGCTTAGTATAAATTTCTATTAAATGTGTACAAAAGTAATGTTATGAGGAATGTTTTTAAATATATTATAATGTATTGTATGATTTAACAGACTAAGATAACATTGGAGACATTTTTGGCATGGAAGAAAAGAAAACTAAAAGAGAAGAAAGAGCAAGCTATTAAGGATGAAGAAAGAAGACGAAATGATTACAAAGCTGGTCGTCAAGTTGGTATATCTGGCAGAGAAATGTTTTACTTTAATCCTGATCTTGCAGCTGGAGATGGTATTTTCATAATTACCTTACATATTATTTGCTTTAAACTTATAATGCTATTACAATAAAATTTATTTTCAAAATATTCTCCAGGTATTGATGATGGAGACGAAGCAATAGATAGTTATGTCCGTGAAGAAGACGAAACAGATGAAAGGATTGAATATAGAGAGCTTGATATGGATAGGCTTGCTCTTGAAGCTAGTGAAAGCGATACTACTGGAATAACTGTGGCTAGTTTAGATCGACTAAAAAATAATGAAGTTACGAACAATGAAGATTCTAGTGGTATTTACAAAATACTTAAATTATTTTCATTTGTTATACTAATTATTAGTGGTATTAATAGTTTATTTTTTTATACTAGTTACTTTAGGCGAGGGTGCAGCTGCGTTAACAATTAATGAGAACCTGTTTAAGGAGGAGGATTTAGAAGGTTTAATAGAGGAATTAGAAGATTTGGATTTAGAAGAGTTATCTATATATTTTGCTTAAATTCATTCATGTGTGATGAATGTGTCTTCATTTCTCTGTACTCTTATGATACATATATTATCAGCATATTATTCACATATTCACTAGTTCCAAGTGTGCTGTCTTGTATATTGTTATTTACATTTTATTTGCAAGCAGTATATTTACACATAATGTATATATAAAGAGCTGGTCTCGTGCAAATCACATTGAATTGTTTAATGTATTTTACTGTAATTATGATTTAAAATTTTTAACGATTAAAAGTATAGTTTACCATCTTTTATTACATCTGTAAATTGCTTAACGTTTATTACCTTGTGAATTGTAAAAAGTATGAAGTCTCATCTTTAGTATGAAAGTAATTAAAACATTAATGTAGTCAGTTTGATTTACTTTTGACAATGTATAATTTTAGGCGATAGCTAAAATGCAAGTTTAGTTCAATGACGAGACTAGCAAATGAAACAAAACATATTTTCACAAAAATATTTACATGTATAATTAGTGAGAAGATTGAGCAGTTGAGTATTAATTTATAGACTTTGGTTTACTTCAACTTTTATAACGTTCGCGTTATGTATTTATACACGCGGTATGTATAAATAAACGTAAATACACAAAAACTTATATATTAATGTAATTATTCTTTTATAAAATGACGAGTGATCGAAATTTTCTATAAATTTATTAAACAAAATTTATTTATTTCATTTGTAAGTGATAAAACAGAAGAATATAATCGCATACATACAATACACATGTACGCATGAAATTTTCAGTCGAAGAAAATAATAAATATTTAGACTACAGTCTGTCAAGTTAATATAAAATAACAAATGCATCTAAAAATTTGAATCATTTCACAATAAAATATTATTTTGTAAGTCAAAATATTGACGGCAGATGACCTATAAATGTGTCATTCAAGTTTTTTTATTTGAATGCGAGTGATGCGAAAACACGTCATCGATATCTTCATGTATCTATTTCAAAATAAATTTATAAATGATTCAATTTCTCCTCAGAAGTATGTGAAATATTTGACGAATTGAAAACATTGTTTATGAGCTTAACTTTCTGTTGTAGATTATTCTGTGGTGATTCGTTAGAGCGATAGGGTATGAATTCAACGCTTAGGTTTTGCTTCAGACCATAATACAATTTTGCAAATATTTTGCGCGGTCATGAATAATAACTAACATACATATTACACAAGTATTCTTCTAAATAGTTAATACTAGCATATTTTATTATGTTCATTTTTAAATAGCGTCGTATATTTGTATATATATAAAAATGTACGTAAGTATTTTGTGTACATTAATTAGAGGGGGTTGATTTAGTAAAATAATTTCGAAATTAAATGCGGTTTATTTTATTTATCAGTCAGATTATGGTTCAATACATTCAGTGACTTCTATGGCCTGTGCTTTAGATATTGATAGTATCTTTCGAGATGCGCGGTATTCATATAAGGCAATTTCTGGATGTTTTTCCATTAAATATTTATATGCGGTAACAAGTTTGTTGATATCCTCCATTGTAAGTTGCATTGGTCTTGTACGTGGATCCAAATCAGAAAGATTAAACATCATTTTACCTAATTCCTTTCGACAATATAGCGGAAACAGTGTTCTATAAAATGAATAAAAAGAATTAGAATTAAATCTATATCAATTTCAATAATTTTTATATACATATATAAACTTTGAAACTTTACACTTATTATGAAAAGTGCTACTTCATAACAAACACTGTATAGGCAGCAATGTATTTTTATACAAAATGTACTTACTCAATGCCTCGTATACTATATTTCTGACGAAAACTAAAAATGTGTCTTGTTACTTTCTCAACAATTTTGAATTCGTGTTCGGTACGTGGAACAGATAAAGGCAAAAATGATACAACCCCGACGTCAACTTTTGGTTTGGGAAGAAAAGCTGTACCTATAATTTGAAAGATGTGCAGTAATATTGTCCTTTATACTAAAGTATTATTTATGATATCATACTAGGTTGTAGATGTCTCTGAAAGGTAAGTGATCCAAGTATCTGTCAATATCTAAGAGCATCTGATTGACTGCAATATTAGAATAAAAACTTTAATGTACCTGGTATAGTAAAGTGTAATACTGGATGTGTCCAAGCTTGTGCCATTACAGATAACCTACATCTTTGTGCCTCTAATGGTTTAGCTACTATACGTTCAGCAACTTCTTTTTGAAATGTTAATGTCATTTTAGTCCTTCCAAATGCCCACGGACCTCTTCTTTCAGATATTGCATGGATCCACTTTATTATTAAGGGAGTTGATACATTAAATGGTAGATTACCAATGATACAAATTCTTGGAATTGTGTCTTCCCAAGATTTCATTTTAGTTGTAGGAAAAATATTATTCATGTTTACTTTCATTATATCATCATAAATAATATCCATTTCACCGTTAACTGATGCATAAGCATCTGCTAACATATCTAATATCGGTTTAAATCGTTTGTCCTTTTCTACAACAATTAGTTTTTCTGGGAATTGTCTTATAATTGATCTAGTTAATCCACCAGGTCCTGGACCAACTTCTAGTACATGATTTTCAGATATCTTTCCTGTTTTTCGTATTATTTTATCTGTTAACTTTTCATTTAAAATAAAATTTTGTGAAAGATGTTTCATTGCACTAACTTTATAAAGTTTTATCATTTCTTTTACAGTTGGAAAAGGTGGTAATCTTGGTGTTACTTTCATAGCTGTCACTTTTTTTTTTATCCTTAATTAGGTTTTAAGAACAAAGACAAACTGATTATGATTTATTTATAATTATATAATATTTGTGTAGCTATAATACATTAACATTAATAATATGTTTCATTTTTTTCCTATATATCTGATGGATATATAACATAAATATTATAAATGTCGCTAATCTATATTATTCTGTTCAATTACTGTTTCAGGTTCATTAAAATCATCTAAGAAGGTTTCCTGCTTTACTGCATACATAGAATAAAAGTAGATTCCTAGTACACCAAGTGCTAAAGAAGTACCGCCTATAATATTATTCCTACGAATCTTTTGATATTTGAGTGCTCTTCGTAAATTTATTTCTTCTGCTTGTTTCATAAACATTACATCTAAAGATTTCACGTCTTTCACATCAACCTTAGGCATAAATTCATTATGCTTTCCATCTGAAAATAAATTAAGCTATTTAAAAACTGAAATGTTTGTGTCATAATATTACGTAATGTATACTAGGCTTGCCATTCACCAGCTTGCATTTTCATGATATTTGTTTCGACGTGACTTTGTGCACAGTCAAATTAATTTTGCTGATGTCTTTTCTTCTTTCTGTTTTCAATGGATAAAAATAACTTAAGAACACATTTTTATAACCTCTAAACACATTATTGATTTTACTTAATTGGATATCATGTTTCTTCGTAATTCAGTAAACTTAGTACATTTACTTAACTAATTATTAATAATAATATGCATTAAATTAAAAGCATTACAATTTTATATCAAGCATATTAAAAAACTAAATGTTATACCGAAATATTAAAATCTTTTTGGAATTCGAGAATTTTACAAATATCATAGAATTGTTATTTACAAAACATTACTTTAGAACATTGATAAATATGATCATATATTTACCTTTTAATGGCGGAATGAAACAATATTATTTTTTCTTAATATCACCTAATACTAAAACGGTAATCTTATACCTTATAACACGTGAGACCAATGAGAACCAGTGAAAACATGTATGTGCACGAATGCGTGCGCATGCGTTCTTCATTCAGGCAAAAGCTACTATCTTTGACTATAATCAAAGCCGTCAAAAGCTCATACACAGTATTATTAGTACGGGAGGCAACAACACTTCTTTATATTATCCAGCGGTTCCATAGTAAACTATTGTAGTGAGAAGAGTAACGCGGGTTATTTAAATTTTTAAAAGTATTTCGTAATACAATACTTCTAATTTAATTATTTTAGAAATTAATTTAAATTAAAAAGAATAACTTAACGACCTTATCGACTGTAAACAAATATTTAGTTAATTACTTTGTAGAAATATATTTTACCGGTTGATTGATCAAATACTTTACCAGTAAATAACTGGACAATTGTTTGTAACAAGATAATTTTCACTATTGACGCTAGATGGCGCCACTACTCAATGTGCATAAATAAATATGTATATCCAATATACATTTATAAATCTTTCCATAAAAATTTGGACATCCTACCAAAATAATACTAGAGACGTGTGTAAAATTTCAAATTAAAATCTTGCATACTTTATGAAAAAAAAAAATGATAAAGAAGCCACAAAGAGTACCCCATTTAATATAATTATTGTTATATGGTGAAAATCAATCTTTCCAAAAACATGTATACTTAATTTTAACATCTAGTTTGCACATGTAAATTCTCACGAATGACAAACAATATTTAGTAACATAAATTAACAAAAAAAGATATTTTTTCAAAAATAAATTATTCAAATAAATAAATAAACAATTCCTTTTGGCACGAGAGAATTACCCATTCAAAAACGCATATTAAAAAGAAAAAATTTTTTGTCCTAGCTCCTCTAGTTTCCAAGATATTTAAAAACACATGGTTTTCACCCTCAACTTCAGGCGATTGTTTTCACCCCTTCAATATGGACGATTGTCGATAAAAAAAAAAAATACGTGTCAAATATTTTGTCGAGAACTATCTACCACATAAATTTGATCAAAATCGGTGTGTGACAATTGGATATATTCCCTTGTGAGACCCGCAAGTTTCTAGGTTTCTTTAGGGGCGTGTCGGTAAATAAACCCGGTAATTCGCCGACAAATAAATCGAACAAGCAGCGATCCAAGAACTCGACGAAACATGTTCCTTCTTTTTCGTCGCTGAAAACGTCGTCGGGCCGCGAAGAAGAAGAAAAGTTTCGGAGCAACCCTCCAAGGATCGCGATCCTCGTCCGTTGAGAACGGCTGATCTCGTTCCGACAGCCCCTGCGTGCCGTCCACGTGCGTGAAAACGCACGCGAGCGAGTCGCGGTGTTCGTGTCCCTCGAGCCCTTCGGAGGATATTCCTCCTGGTGGTTGTCGGAGAGCTTTCTCCTACCACATCAACCAGGAGAGAAGGACGGAGCTTGCGCCTTGAGCTTCTCGCGAGCGGATAGAATAGACGACGCGTGGGGTAGAAAAGAGTAGGAAGGAGCACCGCTCGGAGTTCGGCTCGAAGCCGAACCTGATTGTGAGTCGAAGTCAGGGCTGGAAGCGGGGCGAAACGTGGAAGGGTGGAAAAGGGTTGAACCGACGAAGGAGTGTAAAGGACGAACGTAGGAGGCGTGGGGTGGCGTGGGCGAAGGAGGATGAAGGAGGGGGTGAAAGGTAGGGTAGAGTAGACGAGCTTTTTCGGCGGGCGCGTTCGGTGGCGGGGGCTGACGGATAGTGATGGGATCAAACACCTTACAAGTAAACGTGCGAATAGAACAGTGTGATTGACTCTGCCTGTAATATCCGATAAAAAACTTCAAAAAAGTAAAAAAATTACGCCAAGTACATGAAAAAGTGAAGAACTCAAGGAGTTATCATTGAAAAATAGATGATCCCCATAAAAAACTACAAGAAAATAGAAAAAGATGTGAAATCAAAATAAGCTGCCAGATGATTTGCCTAGATTTCCGCGGCCTGAAAGTCAAATGCTTGGCGTGGCCAGGCAAGGCATTCTTAGATCATCAATACCCATACTTTCTCTCTCACAGACTTTCACATAATATGTCAATTTAAAATTCTGACAATATTATGAGTACACTTTCATATATATATATCATTTTATATCATTATCATTATCATCATATATATGTCATTTTCTCATTTCATCATTAACATTAAAATTTTTTGCAGCAAGAACAAAAATTTTAATGTTAATGATGAAATGAGAAAATGACTCCATTTCTATAAGCTCTACATAAAATGTCTAAATTAAAAACACTAGTAGTATGGATTTACTCTGTAAGGTACCTGACAATTCAGATTTTGACAACTTACCTTGTAATCAAGATCGATCAACACTTTACAACACTGGCTGCAATTTGTTATTAAACCCTGCATAAAAAGTTTAAATTGAAAACATTTTGCTGATATAAATATAATTAATAACGCAATAGTGTAAAAACTTTTGACACTTGGCAGGTTATGAATGACGACATCTGTTTCGACTCTCGACGCTCGATGGCCGACGAGCCATGCCGAACCGAATGATTCCGAGAGTCGACGAACGACACTCGGCTTTTGCTTGGCTCCTATTGGCTAAGGGTTGACGACGGGAAAATCATACGAAAAATACCGTTTCTGACAGATTCATGACACGATATTACGATATCTCAGTTGTACGTGGACCGATTTTATTGCTTTTGGTTTTATTAGAAAGCTTATATGCGGTTTACATTAGAAAAATGCCTTTAAATTTAGAAAATATTGCAGGCGTGTTGAGATATTCATGAGGCGTGTTGAGAAGTTTCAGGTTAGGTTGGAATGGACCATCTCTCCTGTAAAAGATACGTGGTAGCTCCAACGCCATATATACGCGGTGACGGATAATTTTTCACGTACTTGGCGCCGAGACGCTACCGCGTCTCTAGATTCTTCCTCGAGCGACGCGGAGAACTGAACGGAGGGCCAACAATAGTTTATGACATACTCGCGAAATATGTCGCTTTTGGTTTGTAGCTGATTGCCGTCAATATCAAGCCAGATGTGACCGTTTCGAGGTCTTTAGAATTCCGCATGGTTCCGAGGCTCGGCGGTCGGCCATGCCATAAATTCGAAAAAACCCACGAGCGCGTTGGGCCTTCCGTGAGTCACCAGGCGTCCACCTACCCCTAGTTTCGAGGCTGTGGGAGAAGACACCGCGACGGGGGTGAGCGTGGGAAATATATTTGTAAGTGTACCAATCGGTCTCCACGTTTCTCATCTGGATCCCAACAATAATAAAAAATAAATAGTTTCGAGGCTCTCTTCAGATATTTCATTAATTTTCTTCTTCACGTACTTAGTGCTACAGCAAGTATTCAAAATGATGACCTTGAACTTGAAAGCATTTTCTAAAACGCGTTAATGTAGAAAACACTACACGATGGACTCGATTTGATTCAATTGCAATGCAAGCTCTTCTTATTCGCTCCTTCGTATATTCTCTGGTTGTTGGCATTTTGAACCGATGGATTGGCCTGATCCATTGTCATTTTTTGTTGAAATTTTAATTTGTATGCGTTCAAGGTCATTCCAAGGTCATGGCACACCAGGTCGTTAAATTCGTCTTGACACGGACTATAATACTGCTACTGTTTTTGATTTTGAACAAACCAAATGTTCTTAGAAAGGTCCGTGTTAGAATGTCGTTACACCAAGTCGCGCGTATACAGGGTGTCCCAAAACTCGGGGAGGAGCCGGAAATGGGAGGTAG